CCTGCCTTCCTTCCTGCCTTCCTGCCTGCCTTCCTGCCTGCCTGCCTTCCTGCCTGCCTTCCTTCCTGCCTGCCTGCCTTCCTTCCTGCCTGCCTGCCTTCAGAACGGACATTGGCTCTGACTTTGAGTGTCTCTCCAGTCTGTTTTTCAGAAGGCCCTGTGACTCCCCAGGTAATTAGTGTCGTGTTTGCCAGTAATTCCATTGCCAGCATGTGGCCTTTCTTTCTGGTGTAGCTGTGGTAACTCCACATCATTTTCTGGATCCAGGATGATTGAACCCAAAGCAATCAGACATATGGCACAAAGGCCATAATAAGAGAATAAGTGAATGTAAGAGTATAAGAAAATATGTGCCACAAAGAGTAAATCACCTAACTCAGTGTCCTGCCCAGGGGCCAAGAGAAGATACCTAAATCAGAGCACAGGAACAAAGCAATAATAAATTCTGGATAATTCCTTTATTTCCAGGGTCCTACCTCACAGACAGACTGAGGTGATGTCTATATGTAATGATAGTTCATGATATAGCTCATTCTTTGATCCATCAATGTATCCAGCTGGTTTTTGAGCCAAGCTTCCAGCATCTATACTGCTGTATTAGATCACACAGCTGGAGTAAAGAAGGAAAAGAAGTTAATGAAATGTTGTTGGTTTGGCTTCAGTTGAAAGAGGAAACCACTCCACTTGTATGCAACATCCTTCTCAACAGTAATTCTGAATCTACAATAATCACAATGACACCACCTGACCCTTTATGGACTATGTCTTCTGTGCATGGTTCTGCAAAGCTTCTTTTTGCCTGCTCCACAGCTGACAGACATTAACCTTACACACAAGCTGTTTGAACCTTCACTTCCACTCCATGGCTTTCTTGGAATTCAGTCACTTGCTTCTCTCCTGCTCTGCAGTTCTGATGACTGAGAATAAACTTGTTCCATGTGCAACACAGTCATGATTTGCTCTCCAGAGTGGTCAGAATTCACCATCCAGCATCTTACACATTCCTTTGCTCATTTTCCATCCCTTAGTACTTTCTTAGAGACATGCTTGAAGTGATGGGTTTGCTTCCTGTGCTGCTCCATGCCCAGCTGTCCTGGGAAGAGATCCTGAAATTAAGTGTTTCACAAAGACGAATTTAAATTTCTGTAGGAAAAATACCCAAAAAAACAAAAGACATTAAACAGATATCCAAGGTACTTTGCTGGCAGCAAATAGCTTGAGGTACTGCAGATAATATACCATGCCACAAAAAATCCTGCAAAATGAAAAGCTGAGCATTAAATGTGGGTTTGTGAATCAGCAATAGATTCAAAGAGACAGAGGGCATAGAGGACCTAAGACCTCAAAAGAGCTTGAAAGTAGAAGTATGAAGGATGATGACCCATCAGGAGGTGACTGCACCCTTCAGGAGGAGGCCAGAGCACATCTCCTATGGAGTAGGGAGAGTTTCACAGCTCAAGCTCAACTTGTGCCTGTGCAGGGACAGAGGAGTCAGAGCTGCACCGTGCCAAAGCCCCTTACTGCAGCCATCATGTATTATTAGCAATCTGTAAGCTACAGATGGCTGAAACTTCTGCAAGAAAGCCTCCATGTCAGATGTGCTTTTATGTTACTGTAAGTCAAGCACATGAAATAACTGCTAAAATTACTGCCAACTTAAAGCATATATTTTTTAATAAATGCAGTCTGCCTGCTTTTTACGAGGCATTGTTTTATTGTAACCATAAAAACTTCAATTCCCTCTACCTAGAAGTTCATCTTTTGAATTACACTTTTCTAGTTCACTCACTCTGCAGTCAGTCAGCTTAATTTGTAACTTGTATAGATTTTCTGCCCAGCAACAGCAAAAGGAAAACATTCAACAGAAAAAGATGTCGTATCAGAAAGAGCACAAAACCCAGAGCTGAAACTCAGGGCAAAATACGCTGCTGGAAGCATTTTTAGGTTCATAATTGCCCAGTTTTCAATCTGAGAATTCCAAATCATAGGAATAGAAAGGGGCAACTAGATTTGAGGGAAGTGGACAAGACAATGCAGCACTGCACACTTTTCAGTGCCAAAGTGCCAGGGTGTGGATTGGAAACACAGAGCCATAATAAATTATTATACGCTTTGCTAACTCCGGTGACCTCATAGCACAAGTATGTGGGACAACCTCTGGCAAAAGTCCCTTCTGCTTTATATACGTTGCTTTCTGAATCTAATTCTGTAAGTATATGAGGTCTGAGCAATGAGTCTGTTTAAATAAGTACCAGTTAACAAAGATGCTGTATTGAGTATCTTTAAGGCCTTGCATCCTATTTCGGTGTTTTAAAACTTGAACACAGACTTTTACAGCCAGAGCTGGAGCAAGGTCAAGGGCTGGTCAAAGGCTGAGGGGGGAGAGGGACTGAGGGGCTCTTTTCAGGGGTGCCCTGTGACAGGACAAGGAGCAATGGCCATAAAGTAAAACACAAGAAGTTCCACCCCAACATGAGGATTAATTCCTTCACATTGAGGGTGGCAGAGCACTCGAACAGGCTGTCCAGGTAGTTTGTGGAGTCTGCCTCCGTAGAAACATTCCAAACTCACCTGGACATGTTCCTGTGTCATCTGCTCTGGGTGACTGTGCCTTGGCAGGGGAGTTGGACTGGATGATCTCCAGGGGTCCCTTCCGGCTCTAACAATGCTGTGATTCTGTGAAGGGAGGGCAGTGAGGAGCGGTCGGTGAGGGGCTGAGGGGCTGAGGGGCTGAGGGGCTGAGGAACCGAGGCGAGGTGGGGCGGGCTGAGGGGCTGAGGGAGTTAGTGGGGGGCTGAGGCGGGATGAAGAGAATGAGGGACCAAGGCGGGTTGAGGGGGACTGAGGGACCGAATCAGGGCGCTGCGGGGCGGTGACAGACCAAGGCGCTGAGGCGGATAAGGCGCTGAGGGACCGGGGTGGGATAAGGCGTTGAGAGGCGACAGTGGGGAACCGAGACTGCCCGGCGAGGGACTGCGTCGGGTCGCTGAGGTACTGAGGGACGGCGAGGGGACAGCCAGGGACCGCGGCGGCCGCTGAGGGGCGGGGGGCGGTAATGGGCGGAGGCGCTGCGGGCGCGCCCCCTCCCCGTCCCTCCGCCCGCTCCCGCCGCCTCTCGCGAGGCCGCCGCCCCCCCGCGCGCGTCATCGGCGGAGCGGACGGGGACAACATGGCGGAGCGGCGGCGGCACAGGAAGCGCGTCCAGGTACGCGAGACTCCCCCTCCTCTCTATCTCTCCCTCCCCGCCTGGTGGCTCCTCATCTCCGAGCTTAGAGCGGCTTCCCCTGCGGCCTTCCCACCCGACGCTGTTGCGAGGCGGCGGCTGCGGGCGGCCCGCGGTGAGGGAGGAGAGCGCCCCAGTCTCGGGGCACCGGGAGCCCCTCAGGCCGGGGCCGGAGCCCGGGCTGGGAGGTTCTCCTCAGAATTTTCTAACAAATTGGTAAATGCTGTGAAAACAGAGCGGGGGAGCTCAAGTGGGAGAGTTTCGGGGCTGAGGGCGGCCGGCGGGGCCCCCCGGCACATCAGAGGCGCCCCCGCTTCATCCCCATGGGCTCTGCGCCCTCAGAAGTTCTTCGTCTCTCCATGACCAAAAAATGACATTTGGAGCTATTCCCTGTTTCTAATCGCCGTTGTATACGCAGAATCTCCCCCGTTATCAGTGTCGAACAATAGCTTAGTGCGGGTAACACCAAAACACCCGGGAGCTGCACCTCCACCCGGCGTGTCCGGCCCAGGGATCGGGAGCAGAAGACGTGGGACAGATGGTAAAAGCATCTTAATAGCAAACGTGCCCCAACCAGGAAATGATGCGGGAAGGAAAGGGAATTTGTGTCTGGAAAACATAAACAAACAGGCGCGCCTATAAATAGACCTAATCAGCTTTGAGATCGTGTTAAAATGTAGTGATAATTGTGTGGTGGCACTGAGAGGCAAACTGAGGGCTGCTTCGGGAGCCTGGTATGTCGAGATGTAATTTTTACAGGGAGTTTTACAGAGTTTTTAACGCATGTTTTGGGCGTCCTTACAGTATCAGGGACCATAACACTCGTTACTGTTATGTGTTATCAACACTCCGCCTAAATAGTATTTGTTTGGGGCTTATTGCTTTGCTGTAAGAGCAGATAATATTCACGGGAAAGATCACAGAGCCGTTCAACAATGCACGCTTCATATGTCACCCTTCTGCTTGGCTGCCCTCTCTCCTTTCTCATCCTTCCCTTTCCCAGCCCACTTTCCCTTCCCCCAGGAAGATGGAGATCTGCCCGTACCTGTAAAGGTTCCTTTTTTACCTTTAATTCAAATTAGCGAGGCAGGAGGAGAAATGCAAGGAGTAATTCATTAAAATCTTGTTGAACAAGCCCTATCCATCACAGCATTCAATGAATTATTGCAAAGCATCACAGAATTATTCTAAGATTTTTATAGGTTGTCCCTTTTCAAGGATGGCAACAGCTCAATAAAGCACCCGTCAAACCAAATTTAAATGTAATTTAATGTTTGTATAACACTTGAGGCTGTGGTCTTGCAGGCAGTTAAGCACATACTTACTTTCCACCCTGTTAGCAGTAAAAGTATTTCCCAGATTGTTAGTAATTAAATCGATGTCTGGGTTTTAATACTTAAGGTCATGGCCTAAATCTGTGATATAATTATGCAAATAAATGTGTATCTTCATAAGTTCCCAGTGTAGGTCAACAACAACAGGAAGACAAGACAGTGAACAAAGAATACTGGTGAATGCCCAAAGGGTGTTCTTCATTGGTCAGTGAATAAAGCAACTCATATTTTTCTTGGTTGTTGGTTTTGGGTTTTGTTTTTCTTAAGCTTTTTGAACTTTACTGGCATATTTGCAGTATGATTATCACATTTTTCAGGCTCATGCTGCAAGTGTCTTCTTTTAAAATGAAGTGTGGGATTTTTATTCGTAGGTGCTTCAAGTGTTTCAGCAGTGTGTCTAAATTCAAGGTGATGTCTGAAGAGATTATTTATCGTACTGCATGCAGGTCTGATACCCGAATACCCTGCTGTCATTAAACAGAGCTGTATTTCTTGACAGGAGTGAGGTTTTTGGGAGAGGTTGGTGTATTTAGCTGTGGAAGAGGCTGAGGTAATGGAGTTCAGTTAGAAAAACCATGGGCACAGAACCAGGGTTTGGAAAGAATTTTTGCAGGATTTTATGCCTGCCATCAAGATTAGAATTCTGGTAGTTAGGTCAGATAGCTAGACATGAAAAAAGGCTCAGAAATAGTTCAAAGTTCTGTCTAGCCTGCTCCGTGTTTCCCATCGGAAGCAGTCACAGGAAGGATGTGTTTTATGGAATGCACTTTCATCAAAAGACATGTTGCCCAATGTGTGTTGCATAGCTTAGACTCGTCCTCTGAAAGTTACAAAAGTTGCAAAAATTTTAACTTCAGAAGTTTGAACAAAGATATTTCAGAGGCAGAATTCTCTAAGTGTCATTCCTGATGGTAATTTAACTGTAATCAACACGGAGATTAATTCAGACATGCAGTAGTGAAGGGAGGCTGGTCTGTAGGATGCAGATTGCTTACCCAGTGGCTCCCACGTGATTCAAATGTCTGAAATAAAGAATGCTTGCTGTGTATAAAGGACTTACTGACAGAAAAACAACGTATGTTGTCTAATGGCTAGTTTAATCTTTCTATTTTAGACAAAATACATCTCAAAAGATGAGAGATGCCTTTGAATTCCTGTTACTCCAGCAACCTGATCAAAGTTATGTCTTGGAACTATATTTTTTTCCATATGTGTCCTGAAATATTCACTTAACCACAAAATGTTCAGTGCTGTTTCCTTTGACAGGCATTGGGCCGGGTAACACGTGGCACTGTGCTGGCAGCTCTGCAGTTTGACTGTTAAATAGGCATTAAGTTTTCATTACCTTGGCTGCATTCCACATGCACAGTTTTAGTCTGCCCGTGTCAGGTTTTGGGCTGATCTTTGCTTTGGGATTAGCAGCGCTTTCATTGCACCTTGTTGCTATGTCCTGCACTCCTGAAATGTTAGTGCACTTAAATACTGCTCCTGAAAAGAAAGAAAATAGCTCCTGGGCAGTTTGGAGGTCAATGTCTTACTGCAGATTGATGGCTGAGGTGGCATCAGTGCCATTAATGACAGGTACTTTCCTTGTTGACTTTTTTCCTTTGATTCAAGCTCTGAGATCCTCCTGATGAAGGACATCTACTAATAATTAACTGTTGTAGCCTACAGTTGGGTCCTGTCATGATTTGGGTCCCGCTGGAAGGAAAATGCAACAGCTGCATTGCTGCTCCTGTGCTGCAGTTTTGTGTGAATGACTCTGAAAAGGATCTGCAGAAAGGACAATGCAATGGTTTTCCAGTAATGCGTATTTTTAGTCCAGCTTGCCCATTTGGCTTTATTTTTTTCATAAATTCTAGTAAATATGAGTGAGATGATAATAAAGGAGAATGGTTAAATTTTGTCTTTGAACACTTAGTGGTATCAGCTGATAGAGGAGGAGGAAACCAATATCAAAGGGCAAAAAAAAGGGAAAAATGGGAATTAAAAGTAGCAGCCTGAGTTGTCATTAAAACAAGGATCAGTGTTTTGGAAATCTTGAGTTACATTGTTGGAGGTGGGAAAGGAAAAAGTCAAAAAAGCTGGCCTGGGGTTGGAAGGGGAGTGAAGCTGGTGTGTTTTGGCTTCAAAATACTGTATTGGATCTGTTTTAGAAGTCTGTATGTTTACAGAGTTCTGTATGTTTTGCTCAAAAAAAGTAGTAATGGTTGAAAAAAGAAAAAAGGAAGACAACAGATACTTCTGTTTTCACAGGATATGTACTGGACTGAAAAACATCTGCTAATCTTTTTCTGTAGAGAAAAGTTAATGTTTTGTGGCCAGTGTAATCCAGAAGAACTGGTTTCTCCACATGGCTCTGCCACAGTTTCTTTTAAGAGACCTGGAGCAGTCCTTGTACTGGTCATCAGTGCAGGAGTCAGGCAAGTTTGTTTGTTAGTCACTGAAGAAAACAGGGATGTCATAAGAGCAAGTCCTAACACCCTGGTGTGTTTGTTTCCCCCTACCCACTACAGTCATACCAATTTGTGTGCTTTTCCTTCCATCTATGGCACACTGGTTTATTTTAGGCAAAGTACAAATATCTCAGCAGCACCCAGTCCCCTGCCACAGAACATCCACTCAGAGGTCCTGACAGTCAACAGGGAAGGGAAAAAGATAATCCTCCAGTTCAGCCCAAGTTGTGATGTGCTCCACACTTTCAGAGAAGAGAAGAGTAGGCTAATGCAGTTGTAGTGTCTTTATAATGAGTGTGTGGAATGGAACCTGGGCTGACACAGTGTCATTTTTGATGTAGCCTCTCAGCTTGAAAAACAGGCACCACATGATAAATGTGCTTTAATTTCTTCTTTTCCTTATCTGAAAGCTGTATAAACTATTAGGCTTCAGCAGTCTGCTTTGAAGGATTGTGTTCTGAAAATCTAATAAGTGCAAAGAAATCAGCTAGGTTCTTGTTTCATTGGAATAAAAGAATTTTGATGTCCCCTTTGAAACAGAGGAGCATAAATCCTTGTAATGCGTTTGACTGCACATGGAATAACTTGTCTTGCTAGTGACACTCATCATTTACTCTCTCCTGATTTTCCAGAAAACCTGTTTATGCTACTACGTAGTAGAAAGAAATTGTCCTGTCTTGGGTCATACCTGTCTTCTTGCAACTGTGACGCAAAGAAGGAATAAATTGAGTGCAGTTTTCAAATCAGAAATGTGTGCTGCCCTTCTGTCATCCACTGAGTGTTCCAGAAGTAGGAAAACCTGAATAAGTCATGCTTGGTAGAGCTGAGGGGGAGAAGGAAGCTCATGGGCACACAAGTTTCAGTGACTCAGTTGAGATGTTATTTGTGATGTGTTCAGGCCTCTCTGATGCTGTAGTCCCAGCTGGGGGTTGAATTAACTGGAAGCTACATCCATGCATTGAAG